CACATCTCCATGATGATGTGGCAGGCACCGAAGGGCACCACGCCCAGGCCCATCACCAGGTCGGCGCACGCCAGCGAGGTGATGAAATAGTTGGTGACCGTCTGCAGGCGCTGGAAGCGGGCGATGGCGGTGATCACCAACACGTTGCCGAAGACGATGACCAGCACGATCAGCGACATGAGGATCCCCATGCCCACCACCCACACGTCCCGCGACACCGTGGGGTCTGCGGCGCTCTGGTTGGCGCTGACGTTGCCGCCGGGCAGCTCGGTGCCCGCCACCCCCATGGCCCCCCAGCCAGGTCCCCGGGCAGGCAGCGGGGGCTGCGCTCAGCGTTCCGGCGTCGTGGCGCTGCGCCGGGCTCCGCGCATAGGGGACGGCAGGTGCGGGCGGGCTGGGCGCGGGGGCTCCCGCCGTGCGGGGCTGTGTGCGCTGCGCTCCGCTCCAGTTCGCTCGCTCCTCACCCGTCCAAACCCGTCCCACGGCGGCTCACCCGCCCGACTGTCCCCAGCCCGTTCGGCGCCGCCGAGCTTATAGCAACACCCGCCGTGACATCAGCCCGGCACGGCCAATGGCAGCCCGCGCCGCGCCTCGCGCGCACCTCGCACCCCCCCGAGTGCCCCCCCGGCCCGGCAGCCGCCCCACGCGTGTCGCCGCTCCGCGCTCCAGCTGGGAACGCGGCGGTCCGTCTCTGTCCCCGCGCCGCGTCCCCTCACCCCCCGCGTGCTCCCCGCCTCGCGGTGTCCCCGCGTGTGTTCCCCTTCTCGGGGTGTCCCTACGCCCTGCCCCGGGGTTCCCAAACTTCCCACCCCCACGCCCCATTAGCTCTCTGACACCCCCGTGCAGTGCGGGGCACGGGGTTGTGTGACTGCTGCGCTGCTCTCTGGCACCAAAGCACACAAATATCCTAAATAAGGGCTGAGGAATCCTACAAACTTCAATGTCATGACAGAGAACGCTGTCGCCGGAACGCCACGTCTGCGCGTTGCTGTGCATGGAAGGGCCGCGACGCCTCGTGCTGCTGTCCCGCAGGTGGCACCGCGTGTGAGCTGGAGTTGCCCGCAGCCGCTCTGCCCGCGCGGTTAATAGAGGAGCGGCTGCACGCAGGGGGAGATTTGTGGGTTAACAAAGGGTTGAGCGAGGAGCTGGGATCGGGAAACGCGATGAAGGGCAGCTCCAGCGGTGCGTGCTTCTGGCTCAGGGGCTCTGCTGTAACGAGCGGCTTTGGAAAGGAGGGACATATGGGGCAGCCAAGAGTGCAGGGGAGCACTAATGACCTTGGTTAATTACCACGACTTTTCAGTGTCCCGTCGTTGAAATAAAGAGGTCCATACAATCCATTCAACATATGACTGCAACCGGCTGGTGGAAGGCTGCAGCATCCCATTGGCTTTCACAGACTTTTACACCAGGTGGGGATCTGTTCCATACTTGAAGGCTCACTTAGCACCTGCAGGCTGCAGTACCCATCCCTGGCTCCTGTGCATGCACAGTGCATGCACCTCGTGGGGAAAACACAGCAGGAAACTGCCGGGAAAGTGCAGGTGGATCAGATGCAGTGTTGGGAGAGAAGAGCAGGAAGGAGAAGTGGTGGTTGTGGGAACTACACGTCATGCTCAGCTCGCTGTCCAATGCTCTTTTTAAAGACTTGGTCCGAAAACTCTGGAAATGATCAAGGTAAGCTTATGGTAGTAACTGGCAAGTTTGCTGTGCTGCTTCCTGTAAGGCTAACATCAGGAAATGCTGTGACACTAAATCACAAGTGTCAGAAAGCATCAGGTTCCTTGTTACGACAGACATGTCATGCTCATCCTTGCAAGAAGTGTTGTCTTGAAAGGAGGAGAGGCAGCTTTGGGAGCTTAGGAGAAAACACACTGAGTCTGGGAGGGTCAGAGCTCAGGTCTGTGCTTCATAACACATGCATAACACATCAGAGCTGTCTGTTTGTCCTGCACGTCCTGGTAACGACCCTCCATCCTTCTGTATCAGCACCATGGCATGGGATGCAGAACTCAGCACGCCCAGCTTCTACCTCAATATTTTGGCTTTTTCTACGTTATATTCACAGCAGCGTGGGCCTCACGTGCTTTGTGGGGCATGGTGGAGGTAGCAGGGCTGAATTTTCTTCCTCAGTTTGGCAGCTCTCTGCTTGCTTTGGCCATCTGCTCACCTGCATGGAGTGTGCTGGGGTGCGCCCTCAGCCTGGGCTGCCTTCAGGCCCCGCTGTGCAGCCGTGACTCACACTGCAACAGCAAACACAACTTCAAATTAAAGGCAGGATTGTGCCCCACGTAAATGTCATCACCCAAAGTCTGGGTTATTTTTGTGGTGTGCCTGCTTTTACTTGTGCTTTTGAGTAGCTACAGGCTTTCTTTTTAAACAGAAACAATACTAAACCTCAGAGTATAGGTTGGGAGGAGGGTTAGGTTTGCATTTCTTGCACTGCCCATAGCACTGGGGGGCTCTGCCCACCCCATAGTGCCTCCTTCTGGGACCTCAGCTTGCAGGGTGTCACAGCCAGGTGCACCCTGTTTGTTTCATGTAGTACATCCCCACACTGACCCTGCTGCTTTGTCATCCCGTTAATCTTTTCCTTTTACAATTGGATGTGTGCTCCTTCCTTGCAGGGTGACATTTGAAGAGCAGCCAGTGGGATCAATGAGAGAGGCAGGGCTGGGAGAAAGAGGTAATCACTTTTACCAGCCCATGTGACACAAGTGGAAACGAACAGCCATGCTTTCAGGTACAATCTTCTTTAGGGCTGTGACAAGGGATGCTCCCTTGGCCCGATCCCCAGGTGCTTATTGTGGGCTGGGAAGGAGGAAGCCCCCCGATGGAAGCAGGTGGCCATGTGTACATGTGTGAGGGTTGCTTACATTACTCTGGGTCTCTAGGGGCTGCTGGCTTCCTAATCCCCCTGCTCAGACAGCAGCTTGGCAGAGGCAGCGAGCTTTTGGCAGGTTCCTCGTGGCGGCTTCCTGGCTCCTATTCCTCTTCCTCTCCACTTGTCACACCGTGAGGGGGAGCCACCTCTGAGTCACAGCTCCAGTAACACCTCCTTTCTGTTAGTCAGGAACAAGCGTGATTAGGAATTAGGGCTTGAATGATAACACCCACCCCTGCACTGCACAGGGGCAGGAGCAGCAGAGGAACTGCCTGCAGCGCTGGGGCTCAGGGATGGCACAAAGCACCTGGCACAGCAGCAGATACACAGCAGCCTCCCTACTGCCTTCGTGTGTAACATCTGATGGCCTTGGCATTCACAGTGCTTGTGTTCTTGTCCTGATTTTAAAGTCTAGACCAAAGGGAAAGGAAATGGTTGAATATAAGAAATGATCCCAGTGAAAACCAAGGGCTTAATATGGAGCATGGCACATGGAACAGCCAAGCTCTGGAGATTCACTGTCTCTGGGCTAAAGTCTGAACTGCTGGTCCATAAATCAGCACTGATGGTGAACACAGGCTATGGAACAACATAATGTGAGGGCAACAGTGGAAACGGAGTAATAGAGATAAAAGGCTGTTATCAGGACTCTATTTCTTCTCATATCTATCCACCATCAATGAGAGTCTACAGAGACCCCCAGTGAGTCCTGGTCCTGGGGCAATGGTCCCTTCTTGCAATGGGCTCAGGGCTTCTCCCCTAATTCCTAATTTTAGAAGGCTACATCATAAGCTTATAGGAAAGGGAACTGTGTGTGCCGGAATATGTGCCCAGTTCTACTGAGTCCAAGAGGAAATTTGTTTTTTCCTGAGAGCTTTCTTATCAAATCTGCTGCATATCAAACCCAAAATAGCTTGTGAGGCTGCTGGTCAGAGCAGCTTCCCCCAGCTTCGAGGGATTGTTCAGGAGCTTTGCAGTCTGAGCATGTCAGTGTACTGCAGCACGGCCGCTAGTGCCCGTTTCTTTTAGAGCAGACTGCACAAGGTGGTGCAGAAAAGGTTTTTTTTCTTAAGGATTGTAACCTCTATGGTCCCCAAGTGCCTTACTGGAACAAGGAAAATCACAGTGCAGAAGTGGTCTAGGGTAAGCCCAGGCTTGTATCATTTCTCTGTTATGCCTCAGTCTGACCAGAGCCTCTGTCTTCCTGCTTCATAGAGGCTGTGACATTGCAGTGAGAACTGTTGTAGAGTTTTGCTCTCAGCGTTGAAGAAAATCCACATCCTGAAAGAAAGGCAGTAGTTGTGTTGTGCAAGGTCCAGGGACATGAAAATCCCTTGGAAGTGAAAGCATTGGCTTGAAATGATCACAATCAGACCATTGCACACAAACACCTCCAGAACACACAAAGATACTTATTTTGCTGATCACCAATGTGGTGGAAATGCAAAGTCATGTCCTGAAGCAGTGATTGAGCACCTGGTGGGAAGGCAGGGCCAATCAGTGGAGCTCAGGTGCATGCAATGCAGCTGAATGACCAGAAGGGATGGAGCCAGGATCCACCCCTTCCCAGACCTCATTTAAGGGTTAGCAGTGGAGGTGAGAGCATCTTGCTGGAGGTCTCCACACACTTGAGGTCTTCCAAAGGTAAGTAGCTTCTTTGCTTTAATTCTTTGCCCACAGCTGTTGCATTTGGGCAATTTCTTACTTGCTGTAGCCTGGAACCTTGCTGCTCTGCTATCATTGCTGTGCTTCTCATCACATTACAACCACCAATAAACATACAGTTTTCTAGCAATGAGATGGGCAGTAAGCACTAAGAAGACAGTCATATCTCTTGTCTCTTTACCTCAACCTGCTCCCAGTATGTGATGTGAACCCTGTTCAACCTATCCCTTAGCTCTGGGGGAGTTAGCAGCACGTTCCCAGCCCGCATCTCATGTCCTGCCTAGCATCCATAGAATCACAGAATCATTAAGGTTGGAAGAGACCTCTAAGGTCATCAGGCCCAACCACCAACCCATGCTTACTGACTGCATCCCTCAGTGCTGCATCTCCACGGTTCTTGAGCACCTCCAGGGACAGTGACCCCACCACCTCCTTGGGCAGTTGTGCCAATGTCTGACTGGTCTTTCAGAGACTTCTTTTTTTCCCCTAATATCCAACCCAAACTTCCCCTCACACAACTTAAAGCCATCACTTCTAATCCTATTGCGGTTTCTGCTCCCTGATGATCTCAGGCTGAATTCTGAGCAGCAGATGAAAGTGAAAGGCACCATGTCCCACGACCACCCAGTCTCCTTGCCCACCCCAGCCCATTTTGGAATGCCAGAACAAACACTCCTTAAACAATGTAAGTAATTGCTTTTAGATAGACCATTGTGTGTGGCATTCATCTAGGAGATGCTATCTGTGAATGGTGTTTGTGTGGTAGTGTATTTTAAAGGCATGTGAGATTATATCTTTGGCTAGTGTTTTTATTTGCTATAGTATGGTAATCGAATTATTTTAATCTGTGGTTGACTTTTTTTTTTTTAATGTAGCCAGCCCTGAGAGAAATGGTGCAAAGCTTCTCTTACTAAAATTAGCCCTGGCAAACTCAAATTCACCCCTTCTACCAGCTCTCAGCAGAACACTCAACATAAAAAGGGGTGTGAGTTCAATCGGCAACACAGAGAGGTTTGATAAGTTGCAATCCAGTTCTGTAAGTATTTGTTTTTTTCCAGAAAACCTCTCTGGCTGATGCATGGCAGTGAGATGCTGTGGGGCATGGCATAAGGCTGGGGCAGGTGAGCTGGGAGTCGCCATGAAGATCTCAGTGTATGAACTGAGCGTAATGTGTGCTGGCTCCTTGCTCCCTCCCAGAATAACAGAAATGTAATGCAGTGCTCCTGGTGTGTCTGTAAATAGTTCTGCCTTAAATCGGGCTCTGCCCAGGCGCTGATTCCTTACTTCAAAGGTCAAAGTCATTTGGTTTCATAATCATTTGTGTAAGCCTCTGGTGGGAGTGGAACACAAGGGGAGGTATCCCAGGTGGTGCAATGGAGAGAGCGCACTGACCCAGAATGCTGGATGGTAGTAGAGGTCCTGTATGAGGACTAGAGAGAAGAAAGGCAAAAATGCCATGGAGGGAGCTTGGGGTGAGCAGAGAATTTCCTCCAGGCTCCCATGATTCTATCCACATTGCTTCTAGCAGCCCTGGGCTGTTCAGCCTGGAGAAGAGTAGGCTCTGGCAGACCAGAGAGCAGCCTTTCAGGAAGAGTTAGACTCTTTAGCAAGGTCTGTTGTGATAGGACGAGGGGAGATGGTTCCAAACTGAATGGGGGAGATTTAGATTTAGATAGGTTTTTATGATAAGGGAGGTGAGGCACTGTACAGATTTCCCAGAGAGATGGCAGTGCTCCATCCATGCAGACACCTGAGGTCAGGCTGGAGGGGTCCTGAGCACTGATGAAGCTGTGGGTGTCTCTGTTACAGGGGGGTTGGACCAGATGGCCTTTAAATACCCCTTCCAACTCAAGGTGTTCTATGAACTCTGGGGAAGCAGAGGTGCAGAGGAGACCTGGTGCTTCCACATCCATCAGCTGTACCAACTATAGCTGTCCTCAGCAGCATAATTGTTTTCCATCCACAAAAATCTTTGTCCCTTTCCAGGTTTGGAATTTTAGGGTGACTATTGTTGATAGACATGGATAAGATGGAAATGTTCCCTTCCCTTGGAAACCTCAGTTCATTCCTGTTGCATTAGTTCAGGCAGCTGTCTAGTTTGAGTGGGTGCAGTTTTGAAAGGGGAAAATCCTGCTTGATGTCCAAAATAAACAACAATGAATATAGCTGTGTGAAAAGTAATTATGGGGGCTTTAAATAAACCAAACTAACATGAAATAACCCAGCACCTTCATCCATCCAGCTGCTGGTAGGTGACCTCTGCAGCTGCATTTCCCAGTTAAGGTGGGTGAGGATGGAGCTCTGCAACGGGTAATGCAGCCCAGAGCATACAGGGCAGCAGTTGTGATGCTTGGTGCCAAGCAAAACAGCCTTCTCTCCCAGCCCTAGTGTGGGACCAGGAGGTCACGGGGCTGGGCTCCATCACTCACTTTGCAGCCAAGCCACCAAACCTTGCTTTTCACCCAAGAATTTGAAGCTCATTAACCAAACAGCCCTTGCAGTCTGTGTTTATTATTATCATTATGAGTGAGGTCAGCAGCTTTTGTGGGAGAAGCAGCAGACCCTGGTTCACAGGAGCTTCACTGTGGGCAGAGGGATGGAGGTGTCTGGGCCAGTGCTGAGACCCAGCTCCCACCAGCCAGGGAGAGGAGAATTCTGGCATAGAATTATAGAACTGCAGAATCACCAGGGTTGGCAAAAACCTCCAAGATCATCATGCCTGACTATCCACCTACCACCAATATTTCCCCATTAAACCATGTCCCTTAGCACAACCTCCATGACCTTACAGGCCTGTGTTCTGTTTGCAATTCTCTTTTAATTCTGTTTGTGTTGTCTCTAACAGCTCCTGTAGCCTTTATCTTTTCCTTTTTTTTTTTCTCCTTAATTAAAACTTTATCTCTTTCATCCTTGGATGCCACTAAAGCAAAGTTCACTCACCTGGGAGCCCATGTCAGGAAACAGGTGCCTTGTTGAACCCCTCAAAGAGGCAAATGGGAGGCATATGTGCACTGAGCATAGAAACTGCTCTGCCATGCCCTTACTCAGCTGTAAGTACCACCTCACCCATGCCCATCTTCAGGATGTTCTCCTACGCATCTGAGTTTATTATCAGGACTATGGCAGAGCCCCAGAGATCTGGATTCCTTTAAATGTAGGCACATTCCTGGAGTAAGGTTTAAAATTGTACTTTCCATAGATTGGACTCACAAATATAATGCTGCCGTGTGACCTCCAACCACCTTCAGATGGTTTTCTCTCTACAGGCAGTGTCTTCTGCATCTCTACTACAAAATCTTTGACTCACCTACTTTATGCTGATATATTTACTGAGCAAAATGAAAAGCAGGTGGCTGCTTAGTGTTGTCCTTATTTCCTTGACGAACGAGCTTATTATTACTTAGTATTATGTAAATACTAATTAAAGAGCCAACCCTAAGAGGAGCAGAGCAGGGCCATTTGCTTCATATGGGGCTGGGGCAGGTCAGTGTGGACGTGGATGGAAGAGCCCCACAGGGCTCAGAGACTTGGAAGATTTCAGGAGAAGAGACCCATCACGCTCAGTGCTGGGAAATGGAATAGGGCAGGAACTTCGTTAAGAGCCCTTCTACAGCAACCGGGGAAACACCGTCATTAGGAGCTCTGGCTTGCAGGAGGGCTATCTGATCTGTGCCATGTGCCTGTGATTATCCCCTTGACAGAAAAATGTTCCTGCTAATCCTCAGCTTCCTGCTCCGGATGGTGACTTCAGAGCCGGCATCAGCAGCCAGGGCAGCAACAAACTGCACTCAGGCTGGAGGGCACCGGGGCCATCCATCCTGCAGGTAAAATCCTGGCAGTCCTGAAAGCTCCCTTCTAGAAACATGTTCTGGCTTTTCCTGATCTCCTGATGATCCTGAGGAGAGCACCTTCCCCTGAACGCTCGATGACCCATCAAAGGGGCACTCAGCTCTGGTTGGCAGCACAGCAGTAGTGGTTGTGCACCTTCCCATCTCTGCCCCATCTGCCTGTGTCACTGAGCTGCCTGGGGCCCTGGGCACTGCCACTGCTGTGGAAAGACTGTGGCTGCAGCAAGACCCAAGGTCTTGCTTAGAACCCCCCCCATCCCCTCCCACCCAGCACTGCAGCCCTATTAAATGAAAATTCCCTTCCCTCAATAACGGGGCCAATTGCTTCCTGCCTTTCAGCTCTGTTCCAGCTGCTGCTGATCTCCAGGGGCCAGTAAAAGACTTGTGGGTCTGCAGTGCTCTTTAAAAATTGCAGTGGGTCTCTTTCCTAAGTGGTAAATGTGTTCATGCAGAGAGGAGAAAACTCCTCAGTCAGGAGACTCTTCCTGAGCGCAGAGCACTCTGAGCTCTCTTCTACTGCAGGAGCCGGATTTCTTGCACCTGAAGGCAATACTGGGAGCTCAGAGGACAGTCCTGGAGCTCTTTTGGGATTAGGTCCACTTGGGGATTTCTACAGTTTGGAGGTCATTTCATCATAGATTTAAAGAAGAGCTCTGTCAGTCCATCTCAGCTGGGACCCGTGGTACCATCTTCTCACCCATCCTCAGCCTGCAGGCAGCTCTCACAGCCTTCTTGCTATCCCAGCCTTCAGCTTCTGCCTGTATTTTTCAAGCAGAAATCCATCAAGAGCTACAATAACCCCCAATCTTCTGCATCTGAAAGCAAACACAAGGTTGATTCTAGATTGTGCAAAGGTGAGGAAGGTGCCTCCTTGGGTTGCAAATGCCATTCTCTAGCAATTGAAAGAATCTGTATGTACTTAATGCATCCTTCCAAGTTCCCTCCATCCTACTAATGGAATACTCCTGAATTTGTTATCTGAGTTGCCTATGGATCCAGATCTGCTGTTTTTCATTGATAATGTGTTGGCTCCTCTCTGGAGCGTCGTGTCTCTGCTATCAGTGGGTGTTTTATGTGTTATCAGAGTTAAAAGCACAGTTCAAGCATGGCTAGCCATCTGCCACATAGCTTATTGATTTGGAATAAGAAATGAAGGAGCCTTATGTTTTTGTTATTGTTGTGTCCGTCACTGTTTTCTTGCTCACATCTACATATATACACTCACTGCTGAAGCTCAAAGGATTTAACTGGAAACAAGCATGCTTCATCTGGGAATAGGGCAAAGCACTTCAAAGATTCTGAGCTTTGCTTCAGTCACTTTTGGACCTCTCCCCAACAAACGTTTCTGTTGATAAGGACACAGCATTGTTAGCTTTGGATCGTTCACCTAAGGGAGAAGAAATGAGCATGGAGTGACTGCTGCAAATTGTAAGTCATGGGTTTCCCAAAGGCCTATTGGCAGTTGGGCTTCCTCAGTGGTTTGAGATGTTGCTGTCAGCTCCCATTTGTGCAGTAGTTCAACAAAGGGTGGTTGCTTGTTCTGCTCTGGGAAAACAAGTAAAGAAAAGGATCCAGGAGCAACTGCATGGCTGGATCATCCGCAGCTCACCCCACCTCAGCTCTGAACACCTCTCTCAGGCTGCGGGTCATGGACCTCAAAGCTTCTCGCTCTGCAAAGTGCAAACTGGTTTCCAATCAATGTGCTGGTGGATAGGAGCAAAATAGGATGCCTGGAGATGGTTACACATTAATTTCAAGCATTAAAGTGAGTTTTGAAGTTCTGCCAAGAAAGAAGGATTAGGAAGGGATTCTTTTTTTTGTTTTTAATCTGCTTTTCATATATTGTTTTTATTTTTTGTTTGGCGTGGCGGCACTGTAGATCTTTCAAGGGTTGAACTGAGTAGGTCAGTGTCCTTTGTAAAAGCATGGTTATGAGCTGGGACTAAGGTCTGGTGCAGCAAGGAAAGGATACAGATAATGGGCAGACATGCAGATGTGAAGGCTGTTCAGTTCTTCTGCTGAAGGCTCTTCAGCACTGGGTTTGCCTGGATCAGGAAGAGGTGAAGATGGATGTTGCTGGTGGAGCTGCCTGCTACCCGTGCCCCTCAGTCCCTCATCTCCATGGTTCTTGACCACTTCCAGGGACAGTGACTGCACCACCTCCCCGGGCAGCCCATTCCAATGCATCACCACTCTTTCTGAGAAGAAATTCCTCCTAATATGCAACCTGAACCTCCTCTGGTGCAACTTAAAGCCATTCCATCTCATCATTCTCCATGCCTGAGTGCCTGTAGGTAACAAAGCACATCCATGCCTGCACTTAAATTTACATGCAACACCTCAATGTCCGCTTGCTGCTCCCCACACATCATCCCACCCCATATTCAGCACAGCTGTCAGATATTGATTAAAAACCCTTTTGATTTTGTTGTTTAGGATGAAAGAGGAGAACAAAATAGAGTGATATGCTGCTCCAACCGGTCTTTATTGGAACTAATGGGTTTTGGAGTAGTCAGGATCTGGAATCCAAAGAGACAAATTTAGGGCAAATGAGGGATCCATCCAAGGATGAGCGCTAGTCTTGTTAATGTAGAGTTCCTGTACAGTGATTTGAAGAGGGAAACCAGAATTGAGGGCATGACTGACATGAAATTCTCTGAAAGAGGTGCAGAACTCGCACAGAAGCAATGCGGCCAGGCTGCAGTGCTGTGTGTTTGGGTAGATCGCGTTGCAGTGCTCGGAGCGGCGCCTCTGCGCCAGGAAGGAGCAGCACCTGCACTGGTCCCTCGTCTCAGCATTGGTCTGCTTCTTCTCCAGGGCTTTAAGCCAAGGCAGATGTCAGCAGCGGAAGCAGCGGCAGGAGATGAAGCACGAATATGTAACATGAGGTAATCTTTTGCAGTGTTGACAAGCTGGGGTTGTCTAATAATTGGGTTAAGTAATTAATGCCCAGTCAACACCTAACATAATGAGCTGTTCAGGTTTCTGGTAGCTTGTTTCATGGCTCATATTCTTGGTATGAACGTTGTGACCTCTCTGCCTCCGCAAAGGTTATTCTGTGTTGGATCCTAGCACAGCTTCTTGTCACAGACCTCCTGGTTGTCCTCTGTTATGCTCTCCACATCACAGCAGAGCTCGACCTGGCCCTACAGTGCAATTCTGATCTGGATTTGAAACTCCTAAAATCCTCAGGATAGAGGGACTGAAAATCAACTCATTCTTTTGGATTTCCGCACTGTAACTCCATCTTCAAGGGACAAAGAATGCTACAACAGAGGAATGATTAGGACATTATCTGGCAGTGCTCCTAGTAATGAATTATCATCATTTCTGACCATATAGGGTATTAAAGCTCACAGTCCAAAACTGTTTTATTAAGAAAGCAGGATGAAATCTATATTTTGCATGTGATAAAACTTTACATTTGCAAGGTCTGAAATGAACTTGTGGCTTTGTATTGTATTGAGAAATTGCTTCTTGCATTTTAACTTTTGTTTTGCAAAATGCAAGGAAAGCACTTTTCAAATCCTCATCTAATGCTCCTGGAGAATTGAAAGCACTTAAAGAAGAAAAAGTGAGCTACATAGGGCTGATATAACTTCTTGTTTGTAGCAGTAAAAGCAAAACTGGATGGATTCTGATTTCCAGGAACGATGCTTCATTTTATGAAAGATAGATGTATAAAATTGGGTACTTCCTGCTTTAGAAACAAAGCACAGTAAAGCTAAAACTGGAGCACTAAGCTAAGGTCTACTCTTTATGGCAAAAGTGGGTTTGTTGTCCTACTTGTCAAAGCAAGATTAAGAACTGCTGCGCTGTAGATGCTTGGTTATGATAAGATTGTGTCTGACTTACAACTAGATGAAGAGTATGAGAACTGATCTCCTCTGTCCAAAGCCCGTATTAAAGGTACTGGAAATGGAAAAAAGATTGTTTCCCCATTTCAGGCATGCAGTGCATACAAAATAAGTTTTCATAGCATCTATGGATGTAGAAGCTTGTTCAGCTATATAGCCATTCTTTAATATCCTTCCTCAAGTGTCCTCAGAGGACATTCTTCCTCCTGAGATGGGATTCTGTGATTTTTTTCTTTTTCTTTGGTTGAAGGCTGACATCTGGGAATACATGACAAACTCTTGTACTGCATGGATGTTCCATTGACGCTAGGAGATCATCGTCAGCACAGTGCCTGTTACCATATCTCCTAGGTTTTGAACATTCTAAGCTGGTCTGGATACGGTTTGAACGTGCAGAAAACCTCAGGGTTCGTACAGCTCACTTAGCCAGGACACTGGGCAGTGTCAGCTTCATCCCAGGACTCTGCTGCAAGCTTCCCAGCCTTGTGCAGCATGTCTGAAGATTCTTTCAAATTTGTACATGCTGACGTAAACAGAGCCCCTCACTGCAGAAATAAATACACAGAGAATTTCTGGCAGTGTTTGAAATGATACATAGTTTTGTGGTGACCTCTCCATAGCAAGCATAAAGCTCTATCTCTGCTTGGCACCAAATGAAATGTTTGGCATGACTTGAAACACCCTGAGAACCAAAGTCACCTCTTAAGGTCCTTGTCCCCACTGATCCCTGCAGAAGCAGCGAAAAAGCATCATTGCTCTCTTTTTGATCCAAGAGAAATTGTACTATGGAAAGGTTAAGTGAGTTGCTCAGGGCCACATAGGAAATCAATAGCAGAACAGAACCTTCGAGCCATAATAACTAAACGTCCTGGACACACCCTTAAAGAAACGTAAAGGAGGTTTCATCCTACTGCCAAGCAGGTGCTGAGCTTCCCCAGCCACACACTGAGCGCCCAGGGCTGTTGTGCAGCTCCAGCCCCACGCTGCATCCACAGCTCTCCCACCTGATGCCGCCCTGTGCTTTCAGCTCATTTCCAGGAGTGCAGAAAAAAAAGAAACCCCTGGAGTTCAGCAGCAGTTTGACAGCAGCTGACCTTTATATAATAAGCAATGTTCCTCAGCAGTGTGCATCAGCTTGCATCAGTTTACATTTATTTTGCTTGTCTCTGGTAAGCATCCTAAGTAAAACCAATTGGAAGGGACAGGTGGGATCTCAGCATCTTGAAGTAATCTGTAAGGAGCAGGCAGCAGAGTGTCATTAGACAGCAGTTTCTACGAATGGCTTTGAGGAATTTGTCTGTGCTAAAGACTGTTCTCATGTCAGAGGATTGAGAAGGGCTCGGCTAGCAGGACTTTGTTTGTCTTGGAAGATCTTTGGGGAATCACAGGGTGAGTTGGAAGGGGCTGATAGAAATGACCCCATCCCATGAGCCCCTGGGAAGCTGCTGCTCTTCCAGCATCCCTCTATCTCTTCTGGTTAACTCCCTGTTAAAAAGTGATGTCATGGACTCATCCTCACTGCATTTATCAAAGTATGCAGCATGTTTCTTACTGTAAAAATGATGAAATGCCACCAAAATTGGGGCATGATTTAGGGACATAAATGAAACTTGAAAACTTCAGCAAGGTGCTCTGCATGCACATGCTGGCTGACTGAGACACTGGACACTAAACAGTCTTTTAAAAGTCCTTAAAGGTGAATTTGCCAGCAGCAGACCTTTGTGTGCTTAGCGTACTGCAGGCACCTGGAGCAGAGGCAGTGCCTGTGCTGATGGAAGACATCCACATGTGGCACTCAGAGCTGTTTTGATGAGACCAAAGTATGTGCAGGCTATGCTTAGCCTCCACAGTTCAAGGAGGTCAAAAACATTCATCAGACCTGGTCTTGAAACATGGAGCATTGAGAAGAAGCTTGAGAAAGTTTGGAAAGCTTTGGGATGTGGGGGCTTGGAATATCCTTGCCCCCGTCCCTGTGTGAGACCTGTTCCTTCAGGCAGCTCCTGTTGGCATAACCTCTTGTACGAAGCTTTTCCAAGAGGACCCAATGCACACAGAAGCACAGTTGCAAAAACAGGAAGGAGGGATGAGGCTCCAGCCTTGACTCGTGCCCGGCTGGCTCCCAGTAGCACTGCAGTGGGGACATCTGCACTCCCAAACAGACAGCAAGGCACACATGTGGCACAGAGCCTTGGCCCAGCTTTATCAGTCCCTTTACCAGGATGACTCAAAGGAAATACCAGCAGCCTCTGGAGCTGCAGTGTCAGCTCAGCTCTACTCTAGTCCCAGCAGAAAAAGAGCAGCAACTCTCCTCTGAACCCAGGGTAACACACTCTTCCAGGCATTAGCCATTGCATTTATTTTCCTTTGCCGTTGTCTGAGCAGGACAGCAGGATTTGGCCTTTTGGCAGAGATGTTGGCCGTGTTTTATGAAGCTGCAGCCTCCCGACCTCAGGAATCTGTCATGCAGTGATTTGGATCCGTGGAGAAACCTCAGATGAGTCAATTCATCATCACAGCCCCCTGGCTTATCACCACACAGCCCAGGTGGGAGAACTGGATCAGGAGAACAGTTCTGAGTGGATTGCTTAAGAGGATTGTCACTGTGGGATTAGGGCTAGAACACTCCATTGCCACTTGTGTGTCTGAGGTAACAGTGAATAATGTACTCTGGAAGGGTCAGTCAGACATTCCTTCACGTTTTACATGTGGAGATGAGTGTAGATACTGGAGATTCAATACTGCAGTGATGAAACAGAATTTTTAAAAAATTTTTTTTATTTTTTTTAATATGGGTTGGGCAGTATTGAGTGGGTTTTGGCACTGAAAGGAGAAAAGGCAGAAAAACCATTAAAAAAAACCAAAAGGTTGGCAAGTTTTTATTTTTGTTTTTGTTTTTGTTTAGAGCTTAACTAGAATTCAGTAACTAACATCAGAATGTAACATGTTTGTCTTGGCACTGAATGATGCCAATGCCATGTCAGCAGGCTATGCCATCAGCAACAAGTATTCCTGCACTCAGCTTTGTAATCATGACCATATCACCTGGGTATCTACCCAAGGAATGTCCGTATTCACACCCTGAGACAAAACCTGTAGATTCTGGTTATTTTCTGGGTGTTTTCCCACATCACCCACTATTCACAACATCAGCATTACCAGCATTGCAACACACCTGTAAACTGGAGCTCAAGCAGTCCTGCTGCACACCCCCGCTCCGTAGCTCCACTCGCCCAGCCTGTGAGCCTTCCCATCTCCCCATCCATCCCCTTCTGTCTGACATCAGTTCCCTCTCTGTGCTTCTGCCCCCTGCGCCAGCACAATTTACATTGATCCTGATGGATTGCACATCCATCCCATTGAATTTCTGCATGTGTTCTGACTTTGAAACAATTCTGCACGTAAGCACTTGGCCACCAGCGACCTGATGAGACTGAACTGCTGTGAACCCGAACGCGTATGAAGCAGCTTTGGAAAAGGGCAAACCAGTTTTTACTACACGAAGCAGGATGTAGCACTTTGGAGAGCTTCAAGCAATAAAGCCGTCATCTCCCCTGCCCTGCTCCCACAGAGCTCGCTTTCCAGGAAGAAGAGGAACAGTGTGCTGCGGCAAAGCGGTCAGACGGAGGACAGGGACGGGCAGTTCCATTGCAGGCAGTGCATTGTGCAGGCATCCACCAGCCCACCCCCGGGATGTCTGCTCACTGTGTCCCCACAGTAGAAGATACCCCACAGCAGAAGACACCAAGGGCTGACCAACGACTTCCCGCAGATCAGTGGCACAAGAGAAGGCTCGTGCCTGGAGCTCAGGAATTGTGGTCCTGGGTTGGGTTTTGCTTCCCTATGAAGCCATTAAGCTTCCCTTTATCTGGAGGCCTCCCAAAGAGTTTGTACAGGGTTCTCTCAGTGGACACCCCAGGGCATTCCTAACTGGGCACTCACCAGCACAGCCAATGAAGGGCTAAAGACAACATGCTGAGTGAGAGACATCTCATAGCATTTCTGTTGTAATGGAAGCCACCACTGTATGGGGACGTCATTCCCACTGAGGTTTGGCACCAGTAGAAGTGAATCCTTGACTAGTGACACACTTGAAGGCAAATCCCAGAGGTTTCTGTCCTCCCTGCCCTGGTGGCTTTCTGCAAACACGCTGCTACTTGTGCAGCTTCTTCCTTCTCCGTTCTTGAGATGAAAGTACTCGGTTCTCAGAGCAGGAGTGCTGGTGGGGAAATCTTTCCTTAAGCTCAGCAATAGTTCATAGAATAATAGAAAAATTAAGGTTGGAAAGACTACTGAGATCATCAGGTCCAACCCGAGTCTGTCTGCTCGACATCACATCCCTCAGTGCCACTCCTACCCTTTTCTTGACACCTCCAGGGGTGGTGACTCCCCCACCTCCTTGGGCAGCCATTCCAGTGCATTACCACTCTTTCAAGGAAGAAATTCTTCCTAATGTCCAACCTGAGCTGAAAAATAGTTACAGCAGGAAAATAGTCAGAGCTTTGAGAAGTGCTTCATGCCTTTTAGGAATGGATCATTTTCAAATCCCCCCGCTTTCCCACCTCAGTATTGCCCAGCTCAAAAGGAAAACTGCATCCAAAAGCTTCCATGCGACCTCACTGAGACACGTTGCCTCTCACAGGAAATTTACCATCTCCTTGGAAACCCCAAGGAAGGCAGAACTGCTCAGAGCCAAGATCCAGCTTGAGCAGTATCCTGCCTCCAGCTGTGACCAACTGAGGAGGAGGGAGGAAGCAACAGCAGCAGAACAAATCTTGCATGAACCCTTCCTGAGAGGCACTCCCTGTTCTGGCAACTGGCAGCTGAAGGAATTCCCAAGCCAGCAGTTCCATCCAAACCACAGACATGAGCAGAGGTGACACAGCAGAAATAATACAGTCTGCAAGCTTTGCTTACAGTGTAGGATCACAGCAGAGAAGAGCTAGCTGCTTATGTCTTCAGAGGAAAAAGAAATACCTCTCTGTCCTACCCATCTAAGAGGGTCATCATCATCATCATCAAGTGCCCTCATCTGTGCTGTGGATGAGAGAGATGCTCAGTGACTTTTGTTGAGAAGGTGGAGACATGTCTGCCTGAGCTACGTGCTATCATGTGCTTCACTCTGCACTTCCATGTAGGTTGGTTTTATTTTGTCTGGGTCTGCTGCTGGCAGGTAAAATCTCACCATGCTCCTGACACGTGTTTTGTGTGTGCAGATTTAATGAAGATTCCCTTCTGTTGAACTGGTTATTACTGCTTAGGTAATTACAAAATATCTGGAAGCCGTGGCAAAGGACTCGCTGAGAACATAAATAATAGGGGATGTATTCACCATCAGCTGTAAAGCACCATAAGCCAGTGCACTGCTTTTGAATAAGTTGCTCCAGGGTCATAAAAAAAAAATACAACTGGCCTTGCCAAGGCCATAACAGAATAGAAGCTGTAACGTGCGACTCTGCAAGCCATTATTTATTGCAGGGCTACGAGTGTCTGTACATACAACAAACCTGCTATTTCCCTGCTATTCACTGACCCCCTGCCCCTGCTGCATATTTCATCAAGCAGCTATGAAGTCCATCAGGACCACGGTTCAACCCCTTGCAAAGCCTCCACGGGGGGATGTGAGGAGGCTGGTGCAGCCCTGGAGCCGTAATGGGAAAGGCACGAGGAATGTCAGCACCTCCACCAGTCTGTAAGCAGCACCATCTTGATTTCAGCTTTTCAGTGCTGAGTGAGCTGGAAAAAATGTATCACATGCTCTTTGTTCCCAGGGCAGACTCTGGGTTTTATTAGAACATCTTGGATGGAATCTTGTCTCAGTTACATTGATAAAAATCCGGTTATGCTACTACAGACAACTGAAGTATTTCAGACATATCCTGGTGTGGCTCGGAGCAGAGCATGTTCCTGTGCTCACAAGGGACTCCTTGGGGAAGCTGATAAGCAACATCTGGAAGCGCAGGAACCCACACTTTGGATAAAATGTGGTGGACAAATATCGTATGTCAAGCCATTCATGCTGCACTGCTAACAGATGATGACAAGATTAGGTAGATCTTTTCCAGCTCGCGCTTGTGTTTATCTTACTGTTGAAGCTCAGTGTTTTGGCTGGAAAACCACAGTAGAAAATGATAGGGGATTCCAGGCTGAAAATAACTAAGGAGCAAGCTCTGTTCAGGGCCCAGCCTTGGTAAATAGGTTTGTCACTGTGACTTTAATTAAAAAGGAACTTCTCCCTGCTTCCTTGAAGATCATGCACAAACTGTACTGAGGTTCAGCTGGTAAGAGTGAACAACTGTCATCTTGCTGAGGACACAATACACAATGATTGAAGTAAAATGCTAAAACATCTGAAGACAAAAATAGTAGACTGCAAATCTAGCAATTTTTTTTTCATGTCTCTGAGCACCAGCAGAAAGGGCTGTGTGATTTGAATGGATATACATGATGGCAATAGAGCACTTGGACAGATAGTCCAGCCAGCTGTTTCTCTAGTGCTGGTGCCCATGTGAGACCAGAACACCAGTCCCTCAACAACTCCAGAGAGACCCTTCCAGGAACTGTGCTTCGGTTACAGACTCAATACTGGGAAGGTTGTGGACAGGGGAGAAAGGAAGGGAGAAAGAAATTGAAATTGTTCTCATCAGCAGCTCTGCCCACAACAGTGCAGATGGAGCTAGATGAGGTCCTTTCCTTTGAGGTCCTTTCCAGTCCAAACCAATCTGTAATTCCATGATTCTGTGATCCTCCAGAGAACCACAGCAAGGAGCACAGCCCTTGCCTCCAGATTCCCTTATGCTAACTAATGAACTGATGCAATTGTACCCCTATGCTAGCTGGATTTAGGACAAGAGGGAGGAGCAGGCCAGCACTCATGACATAAGATCCCTAGTTGGAAGTGCTCTTTATGTGAG